CGTGTTCAACCTCTCCTGCCCCGGGATTATGAGCCCCGAGTTGCTTTTTGTCGCACAATGTTAGAAAGACACAGGAAAGATCCACAGTTCTTTGAAAAAATTTTATGGTCGGATGAGACCACATTTAAGAAAGATGGGTACATGAACCTGCATAACTTACACCAGTGGCACGTAGCAAACCCACATTTGATGAGAGAAGATAAATCTCAATATCGCTTCAAAATAAACCATTGGACAGGAATTTTAAATGCTAAAATAATCGGTCCGTTTGAGTTCCCAGAGACTTTGACTGCTGAAGTTTATTTGGATTTTTTGAAAAATCATGTACAAAATTTATTGGTGGACGTGCCACTGAGTATTTACAGGGACATGTGGTTTCAGCATGATGGCTGCCCAGCGCACTATGCACTCTCAGTGAGAGAGTATCTCGATCAAAACTTTCCAGGCAGATGGATAAGGCGGTCTGGTAAATACCGTGGCCAGCCCGATCACCTGATTTGAATCCTTTAGATTTTTTTACTGGGGAACTGTAAAAGAAAAAGTGTATTTCAAGCCGATTCAAAATGTAGCTGAGCTACAGCAAAGACTATTGGAAGCAGCTGAATTTGTTAATAACCGTGGATTCGTTCGTTTAATAACCCGATCTTTATTAAGAAGATGTCGAGCGTGATTGCGGCTGAAGGAAAACAGTTTGAGCATTTGCTGTAAAGGTAAATCATCATCAGCAGCATTTTGATGCCCACTGTTGTGCAAACAGTTATCCTTAAGGGTCCTTGTGCGTTTTCATAATCGCTGTTTAATTAGGAAATTTTGAAAAAATTTCATCAGTTTTTTTTTCAAATAAAAATTGTGCATAAGTTAACGAGTAATCTTCCAAGTGTTATACCATTTTGGAATCGTTATTAAATGCGCCAACTTTTAAGGCTACTTGCCAAACTCTCGTAGTACATTTTTTTCCAGTACAGCCAGTTAAAGTTGAGCAAAGTTTTACTTTGGAATACTTGGTTGGGAAATAAGTGGCAATTTTTACTGAACGAGAAAAGTTGGCAGTAAGGTTGAGACACCAGTTTGAAGATGCATTATTCATCATTACATTGTAAAAATAAAATCCAAAAAAAGTTAATGTTTGTAGTAACAGGAGTTGACAGACTGCCGTAGGGTGTGAAATTTCTATATTTTTTTCAAAGATCTATAATTTTCAAAACACATACATAACATTTTTTTAAATATTTTTCTGATAGCTGTTATGACTTTGCCTATCACCCGGTTTCGGCTTGACGTCGACTTCTGGGACACCCTGTATGTATATGGTTAAAACAATGAAATGCAAATAGGCAGAAAAATATCAAGCATAGTCAAGTAGATATGATTCCACCAATATTTTGTTTTTTGAAGTTGCTCCCTTCCGCTTTGAGCTGTTTGCCCCTGCCGGTTTTCAAAAATTACTAAGCTTTTTCGTCCTTGGCAAGGAATTGACCATATGTGAGAATTTTATCAAAATCTGATCGGTACTTTTCTCTCATTCTCGTGATTACAATGCTTCCTCACCAGTGCAGTGGACTAGAAAGTAAAAATGGGTTAAACAAGAGAATCAAAATCTGATCGGTACTTTTCTCTCATTCTCGTGATTACAATGCTTCCTCGCCAGTGCAGTGGGCTAGAAAGTAAAAATGGGTCAAACAACAGAATTACGACATTCAGAGAGATCAACAATGTTAGACATTTTCTCAACTCAAAATAATTACGAAGGTACTAGATTTGTTGTACTCCACTGGTACAGATATCAGTTAAGTGGTATGAAGAGTTTCAACAAGCTGCTTTCATATAAGACAAAACATCTGAAGAATGACATTATTTACCATTTATTCTATTATTGGACACTTCGCAAATCATCCACTACTCTTATTTCATTTTATCTGTTGTTGTGCTCTGACCCTTTGAACTACCTGTCAAAAGTCCAACTATCCTGTTCAAAATGGGTACTGCTGCGGTGAACAGTATCCTCTTGGATTATAGAATAGGTTCCCACTACTCTGTCTATTACCCTTGATCGTTCGTTTAATACCATCTGGATATAGTAATTCGTGCAATATTATGCACTCTGGTTGCGATATTATTTGGGATAGTTTAGTCTAGTTTATGGCCACTCATAATTTCCATCATTACCCATTACTGTTAGTCGTTGACAAAATATATTTTGCGTACCTACAAAGTTTCTTATCATGATCCCTACTGGCTAGATCGTAGTTCAAGTTCACTTGAAAGCCTATGTAATTCAATTTAGTCATTAGGCCTTATAGGGAGTACAGCACAAGACGTGTGCGATTGTTTATAAAAGCCTTACACATGAATGTATATGTTGTATGCCGTCCGCGATACATTACGTATTCTGAGCACTTGTAAGTACGTACATTCGTTTTGCTTTCCTTACATAATCATGTGTACAGCATGTATACGGCGTCGCAGATACAAATCTGACGTTTACATGGGCCATGTGTGATGTCTGAATTCTCGATTGTCATGTCTAGATCACTTTCCGAAGTGTCGAACGTAGCCGTTTGTTCACGTACTTTTATAGCTGCTCTCATTTAGAAGTTTTGATGACATATGCTTATTGTATTAGGGGCTGGAAACACCAAACACAGAAAGATCTTTATTGCCCTTGAGTTAGTTATGAAAGAAACTAAATTGCAATGAACTTAACATTTACCTGTTTTTTTTCTCTCTTTTCTATGTCTCGATCATATTAGAAAATTACTATCACTTCCTTCATATCCATATTTAAAATGGTCAGGGGCGTGCCCTTGGGCGGCCGTAGACATCTTTCTAAAAGGGCCAATCATCGGTAAGAGATCACTATTTGTGAAAGTGCATCTGCACCCAAAACTTTAGAAAATTCCAAAAATTCACAACAATTGTAGACAAAACCATGCTAAATGATAAATATGAGTAATTTTATAGTTCTGTCAGATTCTTATGAGGGCACGGGGTGCACCCCTTTGCAGGCGCCCTTGGGCATGTCCTCAGTTCGCGTCCTTCTGCTACTTTCAGTAAACAAAAGAGAGAAAACGTGAAGGTCCAAACACCGATGACACGTATGCCCAAATCAAGTATTTGTGACTCAAAAAACAAAGGAGTTATGCGAGAACTACGGATGCATGTTCTAGGTAGGAATTTGTATTAAGTGACATGCAAAATTCAATAACCAGAATTATTTATTGAATTTTGATAAAAACGCCACCCCGCCCGCGTTGTGTGCAATTAAGCCACATCACAAAACAATTAGGAATGACGCATCAAACATTTTCGCAATGCCTCACATTTAGGCGCTGATTCTTATTTTCTATTGACATCACAAAATAAATTTCTATAAAATTTTAATGACTGGAAAAAGGAAATAATGTAATAAACTCTTCACTTTCATAAATATTCTGGTCTGTAGCATATTTTCTCACCTGTTCCTTCACCAACCAGGAATTTTCTTTTATTATCTCTCTCATTTTTGAAATTTATCAAATTTGCATATGTAATTTCCAGAAGGAATAAGAAAAAGTGGATGTGCAACTAATTTCTAGCTGTGAATCTCAAGTAATACTCATATTATTAGCAGAAAAATCCTTACTATGCACCTATGCACTGCATTATAGCTACAGAATACAACTTACAGTGTCATCTCTGAAGCAGATTTTACATCAAATCAGAAGCATCATGACGTTTGGGCAACGAGTACAACTACAAACTAGTTCACAACGTGTCCATCAGCTAGTGCTAAGTTAACACCTTTTAGAAAAACCTACATAATGTCACGAGAAAAAAACAATACAATGTCGAAAAAATCGACAGAATGTCACTTATCAAGATATGTCCTTGGAAGGAAAGAAAATTCTTCCTATATGCTTGATTTGGGAATCGTCCTCTGAGAGTAAACGATGTACATTCAGAAAAACTTGGTGATCGCGATGACCTAGCTACGACACATCTACATTCCCCATAAATGAGGCGCATCTTGGCGTATTCCTGTACCGTGTACACAGACATGGCGACACTACACAACCACTACGTACAATAGTAGACTGTTCGTTTATTCGTTTAAGAAAATATTAAAAGTTGTAGCAATGGGATCTAGAAGATCGTCACAGGGTGTAGATTTTTTCGATTTTTTTTATGTCTATAATTTGAAAAGTACACGACTTTTTATATTTTTCTGATAACTACTATGACTTGGCCTATCTCCCGTTTCCGGCTTTTGGTCGTCTTCTGGGAGATTGAAACTTGACACCACTGTATTCGAGGTAAATTTGTACCCCATTAATTTTCAGGTATGGGCCAGAGGCACTCGTCGTCACCAAAATCGAAAAGACACTCCAACTCATCATACCGCCACAGATGCACTAATCAAGAAATAACTGAAGTAGTAGAGATAAGCGAAAGCGATGCCAGATTTTCGATACCGAACGACTTACCTAAAACGCCATCCAGAGATTACTCTAGATATCCTAGACAAATAGCAATTGTGAACACAAAACTAGACGAGCTAGAAGATAAAATTATCAACATGACTGAATCTCAAATCAATCTTTACTTCCCTACATTTAAAGATGAGCTTCACAGCTGCTGGCAGAAAGTATATGGTGTAAAAAGCTCTGACGGGTTCCTGAAACAAGTGAAAATTGAAGTGATTGAAAGGATTAAAATGCTGTTAGGAAGGCTGAATGCTAGACATTTCAGGAAGAAGACATTTTTCGAGATTTTGGCCGCAGAAAGTGACAGATCGTTGAGAAGATTTGATAGATTATAATGAAGTATATAAGCAGAATGTATTTTTGTGGAGCCGACATCAGACACATTTATGATATCTGTTTTGAGATTGATTGATGTTACAAGTGCTATTGTTGTCTCAAGTCATGTGATTTATAAACTATCAATAAATTTACATATTACCATTGAGCTAAGCACGACTCTGTCCAAGATACGAGAATCAACTTTGTTGCTTTCTCCTTGTCAACGATGATACAATTTTATCATTAATTTGATGTATGCTTCATTTAGGTAGTATTGATAAAAACAGTCATCCTCGTGGGAATTACATTAGTGTTTTGAACAATCGAATATAGTGCCACTAGTGTATAAGTACCAGATAAGTACTAATAACTTGTTCAACTCAACATGGCTTTGAAATACTTTTTCGATCCCCTCTCACAACCATCCAGAGCTGTGTACATTCTGTTAAAAGTTGCTAATATTCCATTTGAACCATGCACAGTGAAAATAATTGCAGGTAAGTTAAAAAAATCATAGGTCTTTCCATAGGCGTCGCATGTAAACACATGTGTTGGGGTTCCTACAAAACCGCACAGTTTGAGAAAATAGCGGAGTGACCTTAGGAGCTCGGTTTCACTGGATGGATTTATGATTTTTAGTGGAATGCGGCTAAAATTTACCCATTAATTTAGACCGATTTTGATTCTCATTTTTTATATTTTTTTAAATGTTATGTTTATACGTATAATACAGTATGTACCTGTGACAGAACCTGATACATCATCATCATCAAACTGAACAAAAAATTTCATATGGACTTATGGACTTATCACGGTTTCGTTCATCATAGAGATACAGGGTGTTTAATTTCCCTTCTTCTTATAATGATTTTTTTTATCATAAATTATTTGAGTGATACGAGTGTCACGACTGAGACGTGGGGGCAAGTTTGCCCTAGGTTGAACAGACTCTCTGGTATGGAGGCTCAAATGATAACACAAAAAAATAAAATATAAAAGTGTATTAACAAAACGCTGCGCAAATAAAAGGTCCCTAAAATGAAACAGAAACAGGAAGGTCCAGCCCCTCGAAAAGAGATTCGCCCCGAGTGATCCCAGGGGAGGGAATATTTTCACGTGTCCGCCCATCTAGTTTTTATAAACCGATAGACTCACACCGGCGGCGCATAATACACCTTTACAGATTACGCATTATTTGCCGAAGATGCGCACATTTCTCAGCGGATGCGGTTTAGGGTAACTATCGACCTACATGGCGCCGATGTGGCGCGTGTAAGGCGCTACATTGTGATCACTCGTGGCACAAGGGTATGAGCTAGAGTGGCGATCGTCAGATTACAATCTACCTGCCCACAATGTTTCGAGTATTTCAAATGACCACATCCACTTGTTTGCTTTCCGTTTCGAATGCCTTCACGACTAGACCTAAGACCTATACCGCACTGATGAGTTGCTAATGAGCACGAAAAAGCACTGTCTGTGGTTGGTCATCATGGTTACAAAGGAGACTGAAAGCAAACATGTACTTTTTAAATTAAGACCAAAGTGTTGCATTTTTGAATAGGTAATATAATTTTACATGAATCGTGTTTATGACACATTTTAGTATAAAAAACTTCAACTCATACCCATCCTACTGTGAAAATACTCTGATCAAGTGAAGTTCAATATTGGAAACTGTATGTAGTGCATTTTGAGAGTGTAGTCATTGATCAATCGTGTTTTGTCATTATTCAGTCTTATCTGTAGCGTATATTATGTGTACACATATCCTGGTAATGGGACATTTTAGGACAAATGTTTACAGACACATTTTTGTTATTTTTAGATGTACAATCTGCCTTATAAATATTACCAACGTATTTGAACCACCATGAATAGCTCGCTCGAATAACGGGATGTTATTGATGAACTTTATATGTTGCGACTTGAAAAATGTTTCCATGATTGTGGCAAATATATGTTTTCCAGGTGAGCATATAACAGAAGAATTTAAAGAAAAGTACTCAAAGTTTCAAACATTGCCATTTATACATCACGATGGTTTTAAACTGAATGAAAGGTATTTGAAGATTTTCTGTGTGTGTTTTTAGCTGATGATAAAACTCTGACAGAAACATTGTGCATTTTCTAAAAATATAGAGAAAACAGCAAAAATAATGAGAATATTGAAGAAACTTCGTACAAATTGTACAGGGCAAATAAATGCGGCTGTTTCTCCTTTTCGTTTCGAAAATCGATCCAATTATCTTCACTCGACTTACCTAACATAACCCCTAGCTTTGAAGAAAAAAGATCCTTAAATATTTCTAGAGGTCAAACTACATATCTTTTACTTAGAATAACAATAACCACGAGATACTCACAAAACGAAAATAATACATTCGTGTATATAACTATTAATTTATTTTTAGTGTGGCAATAGTTAGATATTTGACCAGGCAGTTCAAAATACCAGATCACTGGTACCCAGAGGACAGGAAAACTCAGGCAAAAATTGACGAGTACCTAGAATGGCACCATTTAGGGTTACGGCGTCACTGCATCATCCACATTTGGACAAGTGTGAGACTAATAATTAATTTCATTTATTTTTATTTCATTAGAAGAATCCACAAAAAAAAATTTATCCCTACAATTTAATATTTTTATTCTGTTCCACAGAATATACGTATATATATATATATATATATCAACAAGTAGGAAAATAATGGGCAAAATCTGCAAAAAGGAGGAAAGTGGATTCGAGCAGAAAATAGGATAGATAACCCGAGCGATACGTATTTCTGCTGGTTATCTTCATCAGGCCCGAAATGAATGCGCATATGAAACTACAAAAGTAGATACACATGCCCACACATCCGGATACGGGTGTAACCTGAGGAAACGAAGTTGGAGGGGGAACAAACGACACACGAAGTCCCCCTCCAACTTCGTTTCCTCAGGTTACACTCGGGCCTGATGAAGCCAACCAGCAGAAATACGTATCGCTCGGGTTACCTATCCTATCCTATTTTCTGCTCGAATCCACTTTCCTCCTTTTTGCGGATTTTGCCCATTATTTTCCTACTTGTTGTTATATACTTTTCTCCGCATGATCATATTCTCTTTATATATATATATATATATATATATATGTATATGTATGTATATATATTACATTTTTTTGTAGTTTATTTTACCTATGATGACCGGTAGAACTCCGTCTGAATCAGCTACACAGACAACTAAGAAAAACATGATAAAATCTCTTGGAGATTTCCAAAGACTGTTCATGTCGGAAGATAAAAAGTATATTGTTGGAGACCAGATATCATTTGCTGACCTACAAGCAGCTTGTGAAGTTGATCAACTCAGTAAGTATAACAGAATATCATCATACACCATGTATTTCTTTAATACCAATCAAGGTAAATGAGATTCTGACGAAAAAATATTAAATAATGCTACGAAACCTATTTATTGACGACAAAACTGCATGTTTTAGGAATGGTCAGCTACGAGATACAAGCAGAAAACTTTCCCAAAATCAAAGTATGGTTAGAGAATGTACGAAAAGAGTGCTCGCCACACTACCAAGAGCTTCAAAAGGAAGTGGATGAGCTGACGGATGTTTATCAGCAAACTACTAAGTCAAAATTGTGATTTTTTTCTTGTAGCTATAATTTCTCTTACCAATGATAAAATAATTTCTAACCCTCTATGGCCAACTGGTTTTGTGGGATGTCCACCAATTAATTAGCGAACTATAGTTATCACGATGATTATATGCTGGTTGCCTGTGATTCAGACTTTTTATCAGCAATGCAATATGATGGCCAACAAAATAGCTCAGCTGGTGGGAACTGCACATATAGTCACACGCATCTTATAGAGACATTCAACTTGTAATAGGGGATTTTGATATCAAGCATAATAAAGGTTGTGTCACAAAAAATGATTTTTCAAAATGCTTCGAGTACTGGAAAAAAACGTTATCACAAGTATATAATGTCTGATGGGGATTACTTTGAAGGGGACAAAAATAGATATTCATGAATAAATAATTCTTGAAAAAACATGAAATTCGCGATACTTTTTGAACAAACCTTGTAAACGTATTATATGACATTGTAAGACTACTTTTATATTCAGTAGTACTAATTCAATGTATAGATATACTCGTATAATATAAAATGAACGATTCCATAATAAAACCATAAACCTGACCGCAAACGGATTATGTTATTGCATTTGTGATCCCACTCCAATTCCTAAGATGAAGACTAGTACTTTCAGCATATTCCCTATTTTTTAAAGCTACACCAAAATAACCCAATGAAATGGTTGATTCGTAAAACGTGAGAAAACTAGAGGTTTGAGTATATTAGTTACATATCATTTCTAAGCATCATTCATTAATGTAATATTTATTTGGAATTTTGTAGCTACACATCTTTTTACACACATCCTTTTTGATATTCCTCAAAGCGATATTATCAAGAAAGATTCAGCCCGGAGAAGATTCGAATCTTAAAAAAACCGTCCAAACCTGCATTCAGAAAACGTCAAACATCTAGAAACGAAGTTTAAGAACATTCGGAAGTTGTTTGATTTCGTTCAAGGTCGCCGCCACTGAATCAACTTTTAAGTTTCCTCCAATGTCCTTAATACGGAACTGTGCTGTTTTCATCTGTTCTGACTTCTTAAGTGCTGGCATCTGTCATGCAACAAGAAAATTAAAATTTCCAACACACGTTGATAAGTTGCCAACCTGGGGACAGCCGACAGTGACAGTGACACAGAGTGTGACGTGAATGTCAGTGATGTTAACCAAAAAGTCAAAGTTGGTATTGACATTTGGACAATTTTTAAATGAAATTTTTTCGACTATAAAATCCAAATTTCATTCTACAAAATGAAGCTGACAGTGAAAAATCTCAAAGGCGGTAGCTGCTTGGTAGATGTCACGGAGAAAACAACCATCCTAGAGTTAAAGAAAATGATCGAGAAAGACATAAAGATCCCTGCTGCTCAACAAACTCTAGTGCTCATGGGGAAGTCGTTGCAAGATGAAAAACGCATTGAAGATTATCCCAAAGTAAAAGACGGTACCAAGCTGTATGTAGCAGAGAAGAAGCCCGAGACATTGAACTCGGCACTCAACAGATTTTTGCAGAAGTACTACAGTGATGAACAATGCAAGCTTATTGTTGACGAGTTCATGAGGAATTTCCACAACAAAATTGATAGTTTGAGCTTAGATGACTTAGAAAGGCTAGCAAAAGCTGAGATACAAAGTTAGTTAACAATCCTCATGTGCATGTTTTAGCAAATCAGCAAATGCAATAATCATAATTGTGACCAATTGTATCAGAATCGTTATCAAACCCAGATACAAAAATGTTACACACATTAAATTGTGTTCAGTTAAAAAATTAAAAAGCAAGGTAGGACAAAACCATCAGAAAGGTATCTTTTCTCATTTATATTTACTTTTTGTATTCAATTTTAAGTATTTTTGGTATTATTAATTTAACTTACAAATCAATTATATTATTGCTTATTTGTCAATAAATTTTCCAAAACTAGTTGTTGGTAAATTATTCACAAATCAATAAAATCATCCAATTCCTATGTTGAACTAAACAAGTTGACTGCCATGAAAAATCGTAGTAAATGTCTCTGGTACCAACTTCAAAAAAGTGAAGATTCTTGCGTCAGATGCTGTACTAAGTAATTGCTTTCATATTTATTTTTTTAATAGCATACATATTGGCAAAAATAATTCAGCGGTCGTATACGCCCGCCGCCGCAAAACTGACATTATCATTCCCTTAGTGCCAAGCAGCCGTCTTTTGCTTTGCAGTCAGGTTAGTTTGTTTTTGTCGATCGTGGCGTTCAGTGGAATTCGAAAATAACAGAGTTCCCTGAGAAACTGGTATTATCACTTCTGAATTACGATAACACCAATCTACCAGAATCCTGACTACAGCAGACCTCAATAGCCTCTAAAAGACATAATTCTACATAGAAGAAAATAGGCGCCTTCGATAAAGTTTAAGAATACTGCAGAGGCTGCTATGCTAAAAAGTTCTAGGGAAAATTCCAAAAAGCAGAGTGAAAAAAGTCATCTAATGTGCAGCATGCGAAGGGGAACCATCACTTTTGATTAGACTGCTTCAACCTACACTTATTAAAATAATATTGTTGCCTTATGTAAATATAGATATTCAATAGCCTTGTTTTGTACTGAATTCCCGGGGTTCCACCTTGCATATGTTTTTTTTATATATATTTTTCAATGGCCGCTGGCACAGCATAAATGAATTTTGTAGGCAAGTGTGGAGAGTAGCATATGACTGCCATGGCATGGTGAGATTATTGGCATGCGACCACCATGGCATTCAACCTGTTAAAGTTCTATTTCTTTGTTAATAAAACAAAATATTCATAGAGCTTAATACATATATTTTCAGTATTGTACTTACAGAAGTCTAGGAAAATGGACAATATAAAGCTTTATAAACGGATGATTTGACATTCTTTTGTATCTAATATTACATATTTTTTGAAATAGAATCAATATTAGATATCTTGAAGAATGTATACTTTACATGAGCTTGTCAAAATAAAATTTGTGAACAAATATTCACACACAAAACAAAGACAAATAGGCATTTGAAAATACATTTTGTAACAAGTGTTTACATACAGGATACTGTAAATCTTTTACAATTGTTAACAGTGGAGATAAAAATCGCATCAACCCTTGCAAAACTGCTTTATTTGTACTACAAGAAACTTTCATACATACTCTCTCACACCATCTTGAATTGCAACTATTCTGATTTTTTTGTTCCAACATTCACCATATCTATCAATGTATTCTGTATATTTTTTGGAGAATGCACTTTTCCAAGGGTTATAATGATTCACTCTCATATATATATGCTTATAATGTGTAGTTTCTTCCTTGCAATAATTTGACTTCCATAATAATCAGTGCAAAGGTTTAAATAGTAAAAGCTGCATCCTTTTTATTTTGTGTTAGTACAGCAAACAGTAAATTTAATGCAAATGCTCTAAAAGGAAAGAAAATTTTAACTCCTGAATTGATAAACAGGGATATAACTGGTCCAAACTTTGTTTAGTATTCATATCTAAAATATATTAAATACTTACTAAGATTAATAAACTCTCCATAAAACAATGCTACATATTGGATCTGGTTCAGTCTTACCTACTATTTTTGTTTTTTACCAGTAGCATTTACACTTCACTGAATTTGCAATGTGGCATTCTTTAATCAACATTTTGCTATAGACCAGAAAGCAAAGGTGACATGAAGCACTAATGTTTTGCAAAGACAAACAAATATTACTCACCATGATGAAAACTATAGCACTGAGAAAGCCTAAAATATTCGTTTCAACTTTTAACAAGTCTTATTCTAAAAGATTTTATTGACCATTTTGATATACAGTACTATACAAGGCATTTAGTATGAGCAGAATCGCAGTGAATTTAGGTTAGATATTGCACTTTGATGTATAAATTTCCACTGTATACCAATTTATTCGAGTTGAGTCAAGTTCATTCATAAATCAATTAAACTACCAATTAATCTGCATCTGATTCTATTCACTTTACTCGAATTACTGTTTCTACTAAGACCTTTTTTTTGTAATGACTCATAAAAAATGCTCTCATATAGTATCACCACCATATACAACCAAAAAACCACATACACTCACTTACAAATTTACAAATAAAACTTACTAAGCAGTCATGAATAAATCTGCATCGTTCTTGATTTTCAAGTTGCACCATTGAAATTCATTTCATGTTAATAAATTTTGAACTTTCTATGAAATTTGATTGATGGTAAATTTGGGAAATATTTAATTATGGTTTGTCAAATTTGGACTATTTTCTCCTGAAATGAGGAAATCAAGAGCACAGCCTGAAAATACACCAACTCGCCCTGTAGGTTCAGTCTGGAGAGCGAGTGTAAACGAGAAAAAAATACGAGTAGATTTAATCGTATCTACAAACTGTCATCTGTCATTTCGAGGTACTGTGCACACGCTTCCCTGACACATTCTCCTTTCAAGTTGAACAGGAACTTGTAATAACTGCCATCTGCGCAGACCACTGAAAATAAGTTTTATGTTTTATTCATATTGTAGTACCACACTTCTGTGGTGACAAGGCCACCATCAAGTTTAATGGAGAGAATCAATATTCCATCCCACCATATCCATGGCGTGGCAGTCGAGACTATCATACTCATAAAAATTTGTATAGTTTCAGGACACTCGATGATGGATACTTAAAACTGAGTAAAGCAGGCAGCTGTGGTAGACTCTTGGTCTCCTGATCAGTCGCCGTGCGCTGCGACGGTTCCAATCCCGTCCCATGACAATTTTTTCTCTTGGCTATGGATGTTGTGATTGTCCGTAGGTGGTAGACGGTCTCTGACTGTCGAACGCGGAGGTACCACACGGCGGATCTCGTAGGCGGAGCCAGAATGTGTGCATGCTGCATCCACACGTGTTCCCTCACTAGAGTCCGTGTGGCGTCCCCCCTTTTTTCCCCTGTATCACTCTATAGCCCCACGGTACCCCATGGGTGTTTAGACCTTAGGCCTTCGTGGTAACTGGATATATAAAAAAGCAATCAAAGGAGTTGTAATACAAAGGAACAATATTTTAATACAATATGACTATTAGTTATGCCACTCCTCAGGGGCTATGTACGTCAAATAATGACAGGAAACGCTTTTACAGCACAAGATATGTTTACAGTGGCGGATCCAGGGAGAGGGGGTGTCCGGGCAGCCCATGAATAATATCAATTTCAAAAAATGCATATTTTTCAATTTGCGACGATCCCCCCGAACTAGCAAAGTAGTGCTATAAGCTTTTGGTAAAAGAACCGTTCAGCCATAAAAGCTCTCTATTGTTGTTGCCTGAACACCAAAATGCATAGTTACACAAAACCTTATAGGACAAATTTTTTACTGTTGCATAAACGTTTATACAACTATTTTATACGACATATTTGCAGGTTAGTCAAAATGGTTGTGTTGTGGCATCCATGGTAACGTTTATAAATCAAACCCAAGCCTTGTTGTTTTGCTGTGCAAATTTACTACTTTAGCCAACAAATTGCTCCCAACGGAAGCACTTATACAACTGTTGTTTAGTAACTGTTAAAGCCTGTACATATGCTAAATATGTTCGTATACAACTTCACCATAACCTAACTGTCTACTGTCATATTTTTGTTAAAATGCCATAACCAATGTTTTAAGACAAATAACGTATGGATATTGGTTAAAAAGGTTTTATCAACTGTTCAAACAGAAGATATATATCTGGTACCAATTCTAGGTAAATCATTCGACTCTGTCGGTATTTCATTTCTGACATTTGTCAAATTGTTGTATAACACCTGCAGGCAATATCAAAATATTCTAATAAACTAAAGACAACATGGACAATGCCATGATTATACACAACCACTCGCCATATTGGGCAAACATTTATTCCTCTATTTGATATTAAATAATTATGTTTCAGTTCGAAATTACAGATATAAAGTGATAAACATTAGTGTAATTTTCTCTAAATATAGGATTTGTGGAAGATTTAACGCAGACAAGTTCAGTTTTCCATCTCAAAAATCTATACATACTTTTGATCATTATCAAAATATGAGCAAATACAAGGCCCGTAGAAATTGCGTAACTACTTTGCACGATAATCACAATAAAATTTGCTGCGCAAGTAATTCAATAGCCCTATATCATAGTGTAGAAGTTTATCATATACCTGTGTATGAAATTCACAATGGCCGATATATAAGTAAACAAGATGACTGTATTGTGTTAGTTATATATTCTTTACTTCGTCTATACAATACATAAGAAATAGTTTGGTTGCAATAAAGTAGAATCACGTAACAGAATAGTTGTACAGTTGACAAACACTGAATCTTGCACTGACGCAAATGTCCTATAGCGGCTGCAAGAGGCTTACACTTTTGTTGTATAACTGTTACCTGCAGCCCTTAAACAACATCTTAAATGACTTGTATAGCTGTTCTAAGAGGGTTTTGCCAATGTTCTTACAGTATACAATGCTTTGTAAGGAATACTGTACAATCATTCTTGCAACTCTAATAGGAGTGATAATTGTTAGTTGGGCCTTACGCTCTTCGATTTTCAATCTGCAAAATCCCTTACCCCCTCGAGACGGACATCCTCTCGAACATGAATCCTGAGCATCCCCCTTCCCCTGAACATTTTTCATACGCCCCCACTCTGAAAATATTTTCTAGACCCGCCCCTGTATATTTATACATCCATATATATATATATATAGATACATACTCAATTTCATTTTTGTATCTGAAAATAAAAAAGTTATAGGTGTGAGCCACCTACTAGGGACATCCAGTATTAATGAAATGCAAATAGAAAGAAGAAAGTCAAGCATAGTTATGTAAATATGATTTGTGGAACTTCCACCAAAAAATTAGAAGGTGCCTCCCTTCTGTTTTGAGCTGGGTATGCCCTTGCAATTTATATTTGGTACAAGTACTTACCTACAACGGAGTTGTCTGCACCAAACGCGCAAATACAGGGTGGTCCATTTGGAACCGTGAATTTGCAAAAGGACCACGACGACGAAAAATACTTGGGTAGGAAGGTGGCGTTTGCTAACGACGACTGCTTGTTCAATTTTGGATCGTCAAGGGCGAAAATGTGGACTGTTCCGTGGTCTGACGCCACGCAAAGGGACGTTGAGGAATGGTTGAAGTTTATACAGTATATTGTTGCCTGGAAGGAAGGAAAGCAATATAAAATGAATCGTTTACAGATGAATTAAAAAAAACAAACCTGATTTGCACCTCGTCGGAGTTCAGCAATCTTCTGCCCATTGAACGTGTTAAATATCCTAATCAAAGTACCCTTTTCACTAGCTGTTGCTAATCTGGTACCCTGAAAAATATTTTTACAGGACGATAAGAATGGATTTTGTATATAGACAAGAAGCTACATTTCACTCATTTTACGTCTCACGCCACTGGCGAGGTACTGTAATCGCAATATCTCAATATTTTGAGTTTTTATATTTATACCCATTTCTCACATCACAAATTTCCCCCTATATTTGCACTTGGAATGAGGAAAATATTTTCAACAGTGCGTCTATGGATATGGATATGGGTGCCTGTTTCGCAGTCGAGTAATGACTACCATACTGCTGTAAATGATGAGCGAGGCCAGTCATAGCAAGGTTCATGAGTAAATTTTCTGAGGGGACAATTCTAAAAATTCCCAAAATAGTACATCAAATCATGCTAAATATGCAAATTTTAATTGAATGAGCCTATTTGACTGATGACAGCATTGCACGTGACGTGTAGACTCATCCTACTTGGCGCCCGTTTTTGGCGTCAGAATGCATTACTTATTGTTAGTTTTATGCTCCTAAAATGAGTTATCAGTAAAATACTGTGGGGATTGACAGCATGTTGTAGGACATTGAGGTGAGATCATCGCCCACCTTAGGAGCATTTTTTGGGGGGTAGACAACACTCAAAGAGATACCTCTGGTACACGGCAGATCCGCACAATGGTACATGATCTAAGCTTAACTCAATGAGTGTGCCTTACAAGAAGTTACTAATTTTCAGATATTTCTCTTTCATCCAGTAACAGACTAAATGCTTCAGACAGCAGCCTAGTGGATAGAAGTTGCTAAAATCTCATCTGCCAGCTGACTTAATAGTAGTGGTAAAATAAGTGTAATAGTCTCTTGTCATGATCCAATAAATGGAACACTTTTTTAACCTTGACGAAGTTGGTCCGTGTAAACATAAAAATTGCTGTCAATTGCTTCACAGCAATGAATTCATAAACTGACAGATTAAAGATTGCTCCATTTTTCCGTCAATTTTTTGGGAAATTATGATTTGAGATTAAAATTATAATCCTTACAGTTTGGATTGGCGCCTTGATTTTAATTTAGGTTTTGATATTTCAGCAGAAACACTCAATATGTTTTTTTCAAGTATACCGCCACCTTATGTTGGTTGTATGTTATACATAGGCTATGCTTTGGTATTTTTTCCTTGTGGTTGGTACCATAGGCAGTGAATGTATTTGATTCTGTAATTAAGCAGCAATACGGGACATAAAATAGACAAAATCACTCATTGGAGTATATATATGCCACATAAGATGTAACAACGTCACACTTATGCAACAACAAACAAGAGCATGATATTTACTTCCAATAATAATATAAATAATGTATAACCTAAATCAAAAACTGTCATATATGTATTCTTTGGATAACTGATATGTTATTGTGCCAAAACTGTTTTACATGTGATATGAATCAGTACAAAAATAGTGATAGATTGTAACACTGACCTTCCATATCGGTATATGTCATTTACTCATGTATGTTGTGGAATAAAAACAAATGTTGTGATTGATGATACTATGAAATGATTTCATCAACAAATTATAAAATGCAGGAATACTATACAAGATGCTGTGCCCAGCCGTGTCAGGAGACAGCAACATGAGACGATGACATGCGACTGAGACTAGTGCTTTTATATGCTAGACAGCAATAGAAGACAGGTGTCAAAGAGCAGAGACTAGATCTAGATGCATACATAATTCAAAACTCAGACACACTGCTCTTGATAGGATTTCTGGCACTGTCAAATATTTCAATTTAAGCATAAGAATGGGTATTATGCACTTCTGGTGCTGTTCTTGCGGCAATGATGGAAATGCATTATTTTATCTCCATATACATTCTTGTCTTATTCACTTGTCACCGTCTTCTGTCACTCTCATGGTGGGGATTGAAACTTTCAGGGAAATTATTATAAGTTTATATTACCTGTAAATTGAGTGAAATACAGCTAAGATTGGCTTCATGAGCAACAATGTCTAAGGGGCTCTTCTCAGTATTGGCCAGGTCAACAAGCTGAACATGACCTGTTTTCCTTCCAGGAAAGGCTAGGATGGAGTTATTGCTATTTGGACACAGGACGCAAAGTCCTTTTAGGTTTGAGCTGGTTTCAAACACATGAAGCTGCTGAGGACTCTGTGTGAATGTGTAAACTTTTATCACACCTTCTGCAATAATCAATAAATCTTAAATTATATGACTATATGAATTTATGTAAAAAAGACAGACTACAAAACCTGTCTAGCATTTGAAATATAAATTATCACAACCTGGATACTACCTTCAATTTACTAACTGAAACCAAAAAGAGTATACTTGATGATGTAAATAATTCAATATAAAATACATCATTAATAAATAATAACTTGAAACTCATCAATATTGTAAAGCAATGTGCTAGTTTTAATTTTCATTTATCTTATCATTGTGTATGTTTTACTGTAAGTAAAATTATAGCACTAGTGAGAACAAATTTATTAAATAAATTTTCATCCTTATGTTAAACTGACCTAAAACAACAACTATTCTATCTCTCCTTAGCTTGACTGCTAGAACAGGTGCATTGAACTCCAAACAAATTGGTGTAGCCTTCTTGAGGTCATCCCATATCATAACCCTGTTTGTGGGATATAAAGGTTTAGGTCCACCTCCCACTAAGGCTAGATAATTGCATCGGAATAACATTTCAATGTAGCTAAGCCCACCATTGTCAAAATCTTGTCGCTCTTTTTCTTTAAGAGGGTCACAGTTGTATATTCTAAAGCCTGTGGTTGTTGCACATGCAAAACATCCTACAAAAGATGATGGGTAGAGAATAAAGGCAGTGTTATTATTTTTATTGTTTTTTATCTTTTTGTGTTTTTTATACAGATTGTTTTTATATACAATGTGGTCCAGATTATTCATGGTATTTTTCTATCTTTTTCTTGTTCTTTTTGTGTGTATATCTAAGTTGTTTTTGTTTCTTTTCCTCCCGGAGGAGTTAGGTGTAAGAGTAGCTCTTTGACTAAAAGTTGCTTGTATATTATCTGTTTCAATAAAGTTCCTTTTTATTATTATTAACAGAATTATGCAATGCTCATGCCAAAGTGAAGCTTATACGTAGAACTTTGAGTGAATAACTATCAGTCAGATCAAGAAAACCCAAACCATTGATTTTTAGCTAATATACTTGAGACTACAACAATGTTGAAGAATGAAGAGTATTTCCGGCAAAATGCCATGGTGAACTTCAAAGTGCTCTATTTAGTTAGATGGGGCATATCTTACCATGGTCTTGGTTGAAGCCAACGTACTGTAAGCCGTTGCCGTAATGATTTGATTGTCCCAAATTCATTTCAAAGCTGCTTTTTATTCACACACCGACATATTTAACACAAAGCGGAATCCTTAAATAATGTTTTTAAATACATTCCTAACCTTCAAGGCTTTCAAGAGATAACTGACAGAATATATTTGACGTTCACAGTTGACACAGTTCCATTCCATGCATGTTCCATGAAGTTGCCGGTAACATCTTTCGAGAACATCTACGAGGGGTGAACCATATCTACTAATTTGCAATATGTACCTTTTGTGGCCGCATTCATGGTTCTCTTGTTGCTGCCTTTTACGACAGAAGGTATAGATCTGCTAGGTAGAATGTAGTATGTATGTAGTATTGGAAAAGTATCATGAATTTAAAATCGAACTAATAAATGTGCAGCGACCTAGTCCAGTGCGATATATGTCCTTCCCGGGATGGCAGGCAGAGCCGTCCTTAGCTGATGCGAGGCCTGGAACCACCGAAACCATTTTTTAAAATTCTCGCGCAAATAAGAGTTTTTAGCATTTTTGATGAAGTCATTTCATCTCAAAACACACCAATTATTTACGTGATTTTTTTCATTTGCGAGGGTTGAGTCTATTTTTTATTTTGATGTCAGTATACGATATTTCACTCTGTGTAAAGAATTGAGATAAGAAAAAAATATGATTTATGACTATGGTCTAACTCTTCCAATTTAATTTTTTAATCAATGAATCATTAGGGAAATTATAATGAAATTTAGTTCTGCCAGAAAATAAATATATTCGTATAAGACATTTTTTTCTTTAGTGAATAATTAATCATAAATAAGCACATATTATTAAAAAATATTCATATTATTTGCACATACTATGTTTTGGTCACGATTATCTCGTTCGTGGGTTTTGTAATTAATTAATAATTTAACTTATTGCGAAAGTAATCAGACATATTTTAGTCTATTCAGGGTATTTCAGGAATATGGGATCAAACTTGTAGGGGTTATTCAGTGTAACAGAAGAAAACATTTGAGTATAGGGACCCATATCCGGCAAAGTGTCACTACAGCACTACGTCCCTGAGACGCGTTAAAATTTAGAAAGACGATGAATTGCCTAAATAGGACTAATTGCATTTAATTTTTGCCTTTTGTACATGATATCATCACAGCAATTGTTCAAAATGTCTTCCTCGAACCTGAATACAGCGTTCCTGTGGGGAGATGTAAAGTCTTTGGTTTACGAAACTCCAGTAGAAACAGAGCAAGGCTTAATTGGACGAATTACAGCAGCATTTGGAATCATTCAAAACGAGTATCAAATTTTTAGTCAAGTCCGCCGAAATCATGTGCGACATTTAAATCGGTGTATTCAAGCTGGAGGAAGACATTTTGAACAATTGTTGTGACGATATCATGTACAAAAGGCAAAAATTAAATGCATTAAATCCTATTTAGGAAATTCATCGTCTTTCTAAATGTCAATGCGTCTTAGGGCTGTTGTGCCGTAGTGACACTTTTCTGGATATGGGTCCCGATACTCAAATGTTTTCTACTGTTACACTGAATAACCCCTAGAAGTTTGATTCCATAGTTCTGAAACACCCTGTATATATGTACATTATTATATATTATTTTCATTCAACCAAAACGTTTTACTTATTTGTTAACGCGAGTAAGGCCTCGCGGTGCGAGGTCCTCCTCAGCCTGGAGGCTCCGCTTGCTCCACCCTAAAGGCGGCCCTGATGGCAATTAAAGTTGAAACTTATAGCTTATATGATATTTACAATGTCTGTCATTTTCAACCTGTTCTGTGTCACGTACATATAGAACTAGTGATATATTATGTACGCGTATTATTGCACAACTACAATGCAGTTTTCCGAATTTGTTCTGAAACAGTTGAGATCTGTTAATTGCTACTCTTTCTTTTTACAAATATTTAGCCTTTAGTGTTTTTAGCAATTTGTGCCTAAAACACAATTTGGGAACAACTGTCAAAGAGCGGATGTGTCAGCCCGGACCTGTTTTATTGCAGCTCGTTGATACAACGCTTCTGTTTGGTATCCATGCCCCTTGCACAGAACGAGCAACCCTCACAACACATGATATTGACATTTGTGACCTTCGCCTGATCAACCTTTGACACTCACAAAAAACACATAAACAAACTGGAACGCACAAATAAGCAGTTGTGTTTCTTACATCGATAGACGAAGGTGGAGTAATCTATAATCACATGTTCTAAATCTACTCTGGTGCTAGGAATGTGCTAATCATTCGTGTTTTTCCATAATCGATAGCTTTCAAAAATCATCATCTCTATGTTATAGTGGTCTCTGGTGAAGTTGTTTCCTACATATATATTGATAATGCCTTCATTCAGCAAACATCCTCAGGAAATCGTCGCACAACTGCGAAACACCTTTAACAGCGGTAAAACTAAACCGCTGGAATTCAGAATCAGCCAACTTAAAGCACTCAAACGTATGATAGAAGAGAATGTAGATGAAATAGCAAAATGCTTGTATGCAGACCTGCACAAATCCAGATTTGAAGCTGTGATAATGGAGAAAGATTTTACTAAAAATGAAATCAATCACTGCCTGTCACACATACGCGAATGGACTAAGAGGGAAATGCCTGAAAAAACAATGGCAAATATGCTTGACAGTGTTTACATAGTCCATGATCCTTATGGTGTAGTCTTGGTCATGGGGGCATGGAATTATCCCCTGCAACTCACTTTATCCCCACTTATAGGGGCAATTGCAGCTGGAAATTGTGTTGTTATTAAACCATCTGAAATCTCACCAGCTACAAGCAAGTTTATTGCAGAGTATGTGCCAAAATATTTGGATAGTGAAGCATTTACTGTATATGAAGGGGGTATTCCTGAAACTACAGAATTGTTGAAACAGAGATTTGATTATATTTTTTATACTGGTTCTACAGGGGTAGGAAGAATAATACAAGAGGCTGCAAGCAAGCATCTTACACCTGTTACCCTTGAGTTAGGAGGTAAGAAAATGTGGTGGGGTTTGGAAGCCTGGTAACTAGGTCACCTTTAACCATTTTTGCTGACTCTGGTAACTGATCATTCAATAAACTAGCTTAAGTAATGATGAATGAAGCATATGCTATCTCAGTATCTAAAATAAAAAGAACTTGTATTTTAATGTAACAGGAGTGGCAAATTGGAAAAAACATCCCTTGCTTTTCAGATATGTTACCATTATTCTATGAATCATGTTATTTTTGACTGATTGGTTGAAACAAGAGGGACCTAGCAGGGGTTATGAAACCCCCAGCTGCTTGCACCCTTAATTTTTCAACTGACAGCTACCAGACCTTAAACACAGACCTCCTCCCAACCTTTTTAGACTGGTGGCTGAAAGTAGAAAAAAACTTGACAAACATGGTGATAGTTGGCAAGGAGTTGAAAAAAAAAACTGTCGCTCTGTTTTGTTGATCTATTTGTCCTGATCCTTGGCGCAGCTATAACTTTGGAAGTACTGAAATTTTGACACAAGGCTGCTACTATGGCAAGGACAAAAAAGATTATAGGTTTTAGAAATCCATATTCTGCTGGTAGACATATGGTCAAAAAATAAGAAAAACAAGAATCACTCAAATTCCATTTATTGATATTTTAGAGACTCCTGCTCATTCTTTTACTTTCTACAGGATACTGTGGCAGTTCATTAGTTATGGTAAGATAGATCAGAAAAAAGACAGAGTTGACCATATTCAAGATTCAGAAGCTACATATTATGTACTTTTCTATGGTGGAGAAATTTTGTGTCACATGCTTCAAAATGAGCACCCAATTCATTTAAAACTAGTGGTTTAACTTCAACAACACCCCCTTGTGCACTACTTTAGAGAAGTCTCTCATTTCCTGTTATCTTCATCATTTTTTAGATGATTTTGCACTGTAAAATATTTGTGATTATGTGTTAGGGTTTTTGATCATTGATCACAAATATATTGAACATCTATTATGCATAACCTACTTTTTGGGTAATTATTCATTTGATATTTTTTCATAGCATCACATGTTCGAAAAGTTAAAATAAGTTTTATCTGCAATATACATATGAGCAGTTTCTTGGCAGATTGTAATGATTTGATATAATCTCTCTACTCATTTTATCAGACAATCTTATGTTTTCTGAATAGATTTTCATTAGTAACTTAATAATGTATTTCTTTATCTCTCTTATTGTACAATGTACTTGAGCGCTTGCTGACATAGCATTTTATGGGTATATGTTTGAATGATGTCATACTGTAGATCTCTCGACTAGAAACTGAGAAGCCAATGCGCATTTAAAATCGTTTTGTTTTGCTTACATTAAACGGTAACCGTTCTGTTTTGTGTAATATAGTTGATTTTTTAGAAGAGTGGCTGTGAGTTTCTTATAGATTGTGGAGGATGGGGGCGACGTGGAGACTTTGATGGAAAAATATGTGTACTCATTCTGATCACTCCATCAAGATCAAGGTTTTGGTATTGCCTCGAACGACGGAAATTCGTGTAACATACACAAACAAATATGTACATATATCAATTGATCAGAAAATTGTTTTTTTGTGTGTAAATTGAGTGGCTTGCAGGATTCTCAGTGTCATTTAGAAGTCAAATGTCATTAGTTTTTTTTTTGTTAGGAACGGAGGTTGTCTGGTTAGGGTTCGTGCGATAATAGTAGCTGCCTTAACAAACTTCCCACCTGTTTTACTCCTCTCTATCTTTCCCAACCCCCCTAGTTCGGGTTGTAGTGATCTCTTCCTCTTCTCAATGTTGCTCTATCTAAATCGTGATATCTGTCTCTACCGAGTTTCTTGTTTTCCTAGCGTTCGATATTCTGAGAAAAAACGAAAAAGATAATTCTTTCCGGAGGCGCGGCTTTGTCAAAATTGAATATTTTTCCAATTGCCATTTGTTTTTGGCGGTTCTTTACCGAAACAAAATTACTTCTTACTTTTATGGTCCATCTCTCTTGTACGGCTCCCTGGTCTGGTGGCCATGCATTAGAACTGAGACAACTAAGGCCAAACTCAATAAAATTCAGTGTTTGGCCTGTATTAGCATTACAAGCGCATTGAGTGCAATGGAAGCTCTGTTGGATCTCCCACCGCTGGATCTGGTGATCCGCGGTGAAGCGAGAGTAGTCGCTCATCGACTGTGGAGTCAGGGCAGCTGGGCCTTCTCGAATCCTGTCAAGGGGCATACTGCCATCTTAGTCGAATTGCAAAGGGAGGACCCCGTCGTTCTAAGCAGGGGTGATCATATTACCCCTAAATATCGCTTCGACCGCAAGTTCAGGTTCAGCTAGCAAGCTCGTTGGTCCTGAGCCAGCTTTAGGAGTGACCGCGCATAAAGCTAAGAGGAAAATGGAAACTTGGATTGCAAGACAACACTCTCACAAATGGAGAAGTATCTCCAGACATCTCCGCCAGGCACGGGAACTCATTAAAGGGCCCAGTGCTAAGGATGGACGTTTCTGCTTATCTCTGGATAGAGCCAACCTAAGGTTGCTGGTGGGACTGCTGTCTGGCCTATAACACGTTAAGGCGCCACCTGCACGTGATGGGGGTGGCAGAGGATCGCTTGTGTGAACGCTGCCGGGTAGAGGAAGAGACCTCGGCGCACGTTTTTTGTCGCTGTGAAGCTCTGAGCTACTATAGGCAGACTATACTGGGGTCCATTACTTTGGACCCTCAGGATGTTGAGGAGCTTGGACTCGAGGCGATTCTCAACCTCGCTAAAAGGGCGAGGCTTGTGATGTAAGGAATGTAGAGGTACATAAGGGCCCGTTTAAGCGGCCTATGCACTGGCTCCTTATGGTGACCGAAATGCCTCGAATTTCACGATTCATTCATTCATTCTATGGTGTGATACAATGCCTTTTATTATGTGCAGTGAGCAGTGGCGTGAAGTTTAGTCGACGGCTACTCTTCCACAGTATTGAGTTCAATCAAACATGTAACTTTCACTTATTATATTTGTAAACCATCTTCATGTATTCATATGAGTATCTCACACATAAGTTAAAAAAAGCAAAAGTTCAACCTTCACAATCTTGGAACGTGCTCACACTAAAACGAGCTAATTTGAAAAAAAGCAGGTAGCAAAATATTGATAATAATTTAGCAAATTATGGAATAAGTACGTTTTCAAAATGTTTAATACCGACAAATATGCAACGCAGTACATTTGTATGCAGTATTTTTAAAAATAACTTTCGTGTAAAAACGCAGACCTTGATATTTGATAAGTGTTTTCTCTCATGCAACATTTTAATCTTTGATCATTGACTTCAACATGCAAATCGTTTACCGTGACTGTTAGACTGTTTTTAGAAGCAGCTTTATTGGAAATTGATTTAAAGCAAGAAAATGAGCGCGTAAAGCATAGAGAAAATTAAATGTTTCGAATTCGGTTTAGGGGTTACCACATTTTCTTGATGTTCCATACATTGCGATATTCTCGTTACAAAAATTGAAGTGGCGTATTGACTAGTAACTAGTTACCAGAAATTGTTGTGTGCAAGTGGATGGAAATCTGAAAACAGCCACCTACCAACGGTTTTGCCGAGTTTTTCAAAAGACCACATTCACTTGTTTGCTTTCCGTTTCGCCTGTCTCCAGGACTAGACCTAAGACCTATACCGCACTGATGAGTTTATAATGAGCACGAAACTGTGCTGTCTGTGGTTGGTCATGGTTACAGGAGACTGAGAGTAAACATGTTTAAATTTCAACTGGAAATTCTCCCGTTCATTGGTACATGTATCATGACAGAGCTTTGATAAGGTCCATTACATGTTTATAAATGTAATTATTCGTTTCTAGGCAAAAGCCCCGTTTTCATAGACTCAACCGTGGATGTTGAAAAGACAGCTCGTCGAGTGATGTGGGGCAAATGTGCGAATGCGGGTCAGACTTGCGTTGCCCCAGACTACGTTCTTTGCACCAGGGATACTGCGGACAAGTTCGTATCGGCTGCGAATAAGGCGATCAAAGAATTTTTCGGCGAAGACCCGAAACAGTCTGGAGATTTTGGAAGGATCATCAACGACAGGCATTTTGCCAGGATCGTGGCGTTGATGAAGGGGTGCGAAATTGCTGTTGGTGGTCAGATCGACAGCACTGAAAGGTGAGGCTCCAAATTGGCTCGATTTTACATTGTTTTGGCCGGTTTATTACCTGCAGTCTAGAAACATTGTGCATTATACCTACCGTGACCATACATCCCGATCTGAGCAGGACAGTCCATTTTTTAGCTCTCTCTCTCTCTCTCTCTCTGTGTGTGTTCCGCACGCGTATTACGCAACTTAAAAAGTGACATTTTATCGATTTTTAATGGCATTATGTACGATTTTTTCGACAAAATATCACCTTCATGTTCACTTGTGCTAGCTGAGCATGCTGCATCTGCTTCAGAGATGGCACTAGCGGAGGCCATTTTTAACTTCTATGGCTTAAGCCAGGCCTGCCCAAAATAATTTTGTGGAGCGCCATGTTTAGTATTTTCGTAACCATAGCGGGCCAAAAGAAAAGTAAAGTGACACATTCTAATTTGGTTCATTTATTTAAAAAAGCCTCTTTATTTCACTTATAATATTTAGGTAGGTACTCTTAAAATCCAATTAATGAGATGTCTGACATTTTTTCCGTTTGCACAGTGTATTTATGTTAGCTGGTAATTTAGAAGTGGCTATGCGCAAAATACTTGTAAGATGATGACTGTCTAATAAAAATGATCTCATTTTTGATTTGTTATATATCATACGGGAAAACAGCTGCTATATATATATGTACTACCGAATAAAGAAATGTTTTGAAGAGCTAATTTAGTAAGGTTTGGGTTTTGGTTGGGTGTAATATAGTTTTTATAAAATCCGATTAATTTGGAATACAACCATTGTATGCGGTTTTTAGATGAGAACAACCTTGCATTTCAATTAATTCTAGCTGTAGGTTCGGTTCTTAGTTTTCAATTTCAACATCAAATGGATTTTGGAAAACTTTTATGCTGGAAATTTGCGATTAGAAGTCTATGAATCTCTCATCAAAACTCATTCCTCAACCTTTGCAACAACAACACGTACTTTACAACGTCCAATGACTGTTGATTTCTTGCAGATAAGCTCTCCCAATGAACCAACTGCTTTTCCAACAATAAGAGCTTCTTCGCGGAAGCTTGAACATGTTCATATAACTGCGTGAATAGTTGATCTTTCCCTGGCAGTTTTAAGTCAAGATCAGAAAGATAATTATGTCAACTAGGAAAGCCAGATCAGCCAACCACTGCTCATCAGTAAGGAAACTAATGTCTTGGTCTTTGTTTTGAAGATATATCTTTACTTCTTCGAGCAACGAATAGAATCGTTTCAGTGTGGCTGCTCTGCTGAGCCGTCGAACGCGACTGAAGAATACGATGTCTTCAGGATCTGAACCGATATCAGACAGGAAAGCCTGGAACTACCTGTGATTGCACGTATAAAATCAACTGTCCACACTACCTTATCCATCACGTGTTTCAGTTCAAGTACTTTTGCACACAGCTGTTCTTGATGACTAATACAGTGATGCAGTATGATTGTGGGTGTGATGCTATTGCGCATTAAACCCACAAAATCCATTTGTTCTTCATGTCATTGCAGGTGCCCAGGCTGTTGTTAAACCGCAAACATTTTCCATTTGAAGTTCATATTTTTCTATACAACTCTTTACTTCTCTGTAGATATCTTGTCCAGTGATTGTATCTTTCAATGGATGCAAATCAAGTAATTCCTCGATAACGGTATAGTCTTCTGGTACTCCTCTCACGAAAACTGCCAACCGCGATGTATCCTCCATATCAGTACTTTCGTCGAGTGCGAAACTATAAAAAACGCGTTTCTTCAATTTTTTTTAAAGACGATTCAATATCTTTGGCCTTGACATCAATTCTTCTTGCTATGGTTTGATGTGACGAGCTGATATTTTTAACTATTGTTTTCTGTTCCGGACACGCTACCGATGCGAATATCTCCAAGCATTCCTTGACAAATTCTCCATCTGATAGAGGTTTGCTTCGCTTGGCGATGGCTTCTGCTATCATGAAACTAATTTTTGTAACCGTCTGGGAGTTTTCTTTTGGTATTTTGAACATCGCTTGTTGACCGGTCATATTTTTTTTAACGAATTTACACGATCGGCCCTTTGTACTCATCGTATTTAGAAGCATGCTATGTAGAATAATGGATTTTATATTATACTCCTTGCAAACTGAAATTTTTTCATGGCATATGAGGCACAGTATTTTTCCATTTTGTTCCGTGGCAAAAAAGTCTTCAGTCCAACTGTTTTTAAATATTCGGCGTTCTGCGTCAACTTTACGTTTCTTTTCTAATGATGACATGGTGTTCTGAAAAAACATAAAATATTATTATGTAGTGCTGAGTACTTAACTTAAGCTTGAATGTAAAATAGGCAAGTGGAGGCGTGCACGTTGTATGTAATTTCGAACAATGTGCATTCTTATAACCAAAGGAAAAACAATCATACGAATAATTAAACACAAATATTTTAGAGAACTAAATTATCTGCTTATCTTATTTCACGACTTTTCGCTGCTTAAGCTGTTGATTCTATAGTATTGGTCGTTGTATCATTCCTCTATAGGTGCGGCTAGTTTGTACACAAGTTGCCATTACTAGCATTTTTAATCACATCATATTTATTTTTTACATAATACTCCTGCCAGTTTTTCGTTCAAAATAGCAGATGTTTTGTGATGTATCATTCATTTTTCAGATACATTGCTCCAACCATTTTGGTCGATGTCAAACCGACTGATCCAGTAATGCAGGAAGAAATTTTCGGTCCTCTTCTGCCCATAGTATACGTAGAAAATGCCTATGATGCTATGGCCTTCATAAATGAGAGAGAAAAACCGCTTGCCATGTACATCTTTTCCAATGATAGTCATCTGGTTGACACTTTTTTGTCAACTACATCTGCTGGTGGCGTAACTGTAAATGATGTTGTGATGCATTTGACTGTGCCATCACTACCTTTTGGGGGAGTAGGGTAAGAATATATCATAATCATTATATTACAGCAACATGTAGATTCTACACGGTTTTTAGTTGAAATTAGGTATAATTCTAATGAAAAGTTCTTCCGCTGGACCGACATACATTTTGTCCGTTTGACGACTCTTCTGATAAACCATTAAACGTTATTCTGAAGCTCTGAATCCTGTTTTAAGTTTCTAAACGCCAGGGTTAGAGATAGCTTTGTCAATCTAGAGTATATGTTCATTTCCGATTGAGTGCAATTTGAAGAGAACTTCCTTTTAACTGAATACTTTGTTAAACAGGCAAAGTGGAATGGGTTATTATCATGGAAAGAACTCTTACGACACATTTACGCACAAGAAGAGCGTCCTGCACAAGGACTTGTGGATTTTGGGTGAAAAATTGGGATCTGCAAGATATCCACCTTCATCCACGGGAAAAATGAAGTATCTGCAGCTCACGCTGGATCCGAGACTTTCATTTTCTTTTAAATACCTGTCTCATATTATGATGTTTGCTTTGGGTGCTGGTATGGTGTATTGGCTGCATTATTTGAAAGAGCTCACTAAATAACGTATGCAAATGAAAATATGGTGTCACAACATTACTTGTATTGAACGGTTGTGATCATGTGGTATGTAATTACTTTAATTTTCTTGTACATTCATTGACATTACCAACAAGATTAACAAATAAAAAAGATATTTTCATATTTCAATGCAAAATAATCCCCATGCTTACTGTTCAACATGTTATGTAAAGACTAAAATAGGATAAATGAAATACTTAAAACTTGTTTATAGGCACGACTTATTCCCATGAAGTGTCATACTGTATTTGGTGCTGTGTGTATCGCCAAAGTTTTCTCATATACAACCATTTTTCTTCTTTCTTTGATGGTCTAATTACATCTTTATGCAGGAATGAATTATTTACTGTTGATCCTCATTGATACTAACTTGTGAGTTACATATAGCCTTTATCATGAGTATCCATTATGGAAGGACAGCTAAGTATCTAGTAATATTTCAAAATTCCCCATATCAGAAAAGGACACATAATTCTTTTAATTTTTTGTACACTACAGATTCATTTTGTACTTGCTAACATCTCTTTTATTTAAAAAAGTTCATTTGCATACAAGAAACAAAGTGCTACTAACAAGTTTTACTAGATTTACTCCCGATTCATTATGGCCAACGTTGCACATTAACACAATAATGTCACTTGTTGATCAGCTGTTCACCTCAGTAGACGTCAAAGCGTGATGAATACTCGTGAAATAGGGTATATTTGATTTCCTATTATAACCAAACACTTTTGACAGTCCACTTTTAGCATTTGTTATTGGTGCATTTGATCTTCATATATATTTTTTATTATATATTTCTTGCCTCTCTATTGGTATCTTAAACCTTGAGTACAATTTTATATTGAAAAAGGCTATTGTATAAGGTATATGTTTTGGGTTTTGTAAAAAAAGTATTGCATATGTAAGATAAACACTTATTTTATATTTTATTATCAGGGTGTTAGGCCTTTCACCATCTGTATATCATATTTTAGTATCAAATAAAAACAAAAAGTATATTTGAATTTTATTCTCCACACAAACCATTCTATTTTCATTTTACTTCCCACGCCTTACTAACAGAGGAAGTATCATATATTTCTTGCCTCTCTATCAGTATCTAAAACCTTTCTAATAATCTTATAATGAAAAAGGCTAGTTTATAAGGTAAATATTTTGGGTTTTGTAAAAAGAAATATTGTATATTCAAGAAAAATATTTTATTATCGGAGTATTAGGCCTTTCAGCATGTGTTTATTACATTTTTGTATCAATTAAAAACAAAATATATTTGATTTTATCCTCTACTATATACATAAACCATTCTATTTTCATTTAACTACCCACACCTGGTAGGCTAAGGAACTATTACAATCACAATTTCGAAAGTGAGACATTATATTTTTTTGGATGTTATATGACATACATCACGGTAATTCTGCAAATCTATTAGACATTTTACACCTTAAAATATTTTGAGCAGACAGATCACCTGTTGGTCGCACATGCCGTGCACCACAGTTATTTATAAATATTACAACTTTTGTACATGATCTGCATGATTTATGAAAGCAGGTATAACAGCAAGCAGCATATTGACATACAAGGTAGGCATGGTATCTAAAGGGTTGTTCATTAAGTCTGTCTGAAATTTAAAATTGAATGAAACGAGTTGTGTGCGACATATGATGGAAACCTTAATTGCGTATTAAAGTACATTCAATACCATTACATTGTAAAAATTACATCATTCAAATGGCCTCCGTGACTTCGTTTACAGGACTCGATGCGAGAGGTCCAATTTTGTAAAACTCTGCTGCATAAGTTAGGCTGGATCTCACTGATGGTTTGAATGATGTTCTTCTCCAGTTGGTGAATTGTTGGTGTGTTGCCATAAACCAGCAACTTAACATAACTCCAGAGAAAAAAGTCTAAGGGCGTTAAGTCGCACGATCTTGGCGGCCATTCCACATCGCCTCTTCTGGAAATAACGTGTAATGGAATTTGTTTTTGCAACAACTGCAATGTAATGGCCGATGTGTGACATATTGCGCCGTCTTGTTGGAACCACATGTCGTTCAGGTCCATATTATCCAATTGAGGCCATAAAAAGTCAGTTATCATGGCCCGATACCGGGCTCCGTTGACCGTCACCGTCTCGTCATTCTCGTTTCGGAAGATGTACGGTCCAATGACGAAGCCTGACCAAAACAGTAAGTTTTTCCGGATGCAATGGAGACTCTTGATGCTGTTGTGGATTACTGTCTCCCCAAATTGCGACAATTTTGTTTGTTCACGAAGCCGTTTAACCAAAAATGGATTACTGAAAATGATTGCCAAAATTTGGATCCGCTCCCTACTGTTTCAGAGCCCAATCAGCGAAAGTACGACCTGCCCAGGTTTTTTCGTAAAATTCTTCAAGTCCAGGTCGCACTAAGGTCAATTGCTTGTGCACGACGTGGAATCGAAAGGGTCTTCAGCTACGCTTTCGGCAACAGCAACAATATTCTCGCTTGACTGCACGTTTCAGCGTCTTACAGTCACTGCTCGATCAGCAACCGTACCGTCTTGCTCGAATTTGGCGATAATTCGTTGAATCGTTTGCTTCGCTGGACGATTATTTCGGCCGTATAGATTTCGTAGCTCGCAAAAAGTTTGACGAATAGAACACGAATTTTTATAATAGATTTCAACAATTGCGTTCTTGCACAGTGTAGCGCTCCATAGTGAAATGGTGACTATGACAGAACACAAACATCGAGGACTGATAGCCATGCCAACTGAAACGCCAGAGCAAGATGTTTCCAAATTTTGGATATAGCTATTGATAAACCCCTTGTAAATAAATATACGATCATTATGCTAGGAGATTAATTCAATGAGTTTATTTGATTTCATGATGTATTATATAGTGTAGAATATAAGTATATCAAGAGTTAGTATAGTCAGCTACCAAACATTGTTGAAAGGAAAACCTCATTGCTGCAACATTTTTTCATGATAAGCCTAAATAGTGCATTGCAGGTTCTAACATAATGTCTGTCTTTCTGATGTCATTAATTCACATGGAAAATTGTACTTGAAGTTGTTTCAAAGGTGTAGGAAGTATAACATCAAATTACTTCCCACTGGAGCCACTTCAACTCAAAACAGTTGAAATTGTGTATAATATCAGCTTGTTTCACATTTTATGGCTTGCAATTTAATTTTACATATTGGATTTTAGCCTATTTTCTCTCGAGTCCTTTAAAACCTCTACCTAACAGAAAAATCTCAGTTGAGTCAGCCCTGCTAGACTTTGGTTTAACTAACCTTACATTATCATAAAATCTACTCATATCACTCTCAAGCTGTTTTGTTTCCCCACACTGCCACATTTTCATTAGTAATACCCCTTCTGTCCTTGTGATCTGAACTGCAAACCTAAGTGCACTGTAACAGAGCTTCACCATGTTTTCATTGTCCAAGTCCCTAACTCCAGAAGCTTTTGGTGCCATGTCTGAGATGACTGCATGTACCTGTTCACCTTGTAGATGTTCTAAGAGAGCTTGTTGTGAAGAAGGTGCTGTGAAGTCCATATTTCCAAAAATTTTGGCACCCTAGAAGCAGAAGTAATTTGGGTAATAACCAGATCAGATCATCCAAAGTGACATACATCTTTGTGTTTCTGCTAAAAACTTGGTGGAAGAAGATAGCACAAAGAAGAGTACTTTGAAATAATGGTCAAGTGAAGTCATCTTTGGTTGTCAGAGCGGTCTGTGGGACCTTAGCTCTTGAGTCACAGTGTGAGTTTGTAAGTCCGTCAGGTCTGGTAACCCAGAAACCAGACAGTTTTAAGGAAAAAAGGGAAGGAAAGGAGAGAAGGAAGAATGAGAGCAAAGGGGAAGAAGAGAATCTTTTAGGATAGGCAGCATTTAGGCATTGTTAAAATCACTTCACAGATTTTGATATGGTCTAAAAATATTCGATTTTTTTTCTAAAGATTTTGTCAAAATGCTCCACTTTTGGTTGTTCTAAGTTCATGAATTAATTTTGATTACAGTGCGAGCCGCGGCCTTTTGTGCTTGCGAACATGCTTGACTGTGTAGTGAAATAATGGTACTATGGTGAATTTTCTAAAATGTCATGTCGCATGAAGTTGAAGCACTGAACAAAACAAAAGGAATTGATTTAAACAAAAGCAGCCGTGAAAAGTCTAGTTTTGTAGCATCTATCAATTTTAAATATATAAAAAATATATTATTCATACTTACTTCGATAGGATACACATGTTGCTTATCAATAGCAACAACCTTTCCTTTAGGGTCGCCTTCCATTTTCCCATCAGCATTGACTCTTTTTACAGCCACTTGTGTCCAGGAACCAGGCGCTGCTCCACAGTCCACAACAATATCCCCAGGACTAAGAATTTTGTACCTATCGTCAATTTCTATTAGTTTGAAAGCGCTCCGGCACCTTAGTTGCATAGTTTTCGCTTTCTCCACATATGGATCTGAGAGTTGTCTTGAAAGCCATTGCTGAGAACTGGCGCTCTTTGGCTTTGTCTTCAGTTTTTCAGGGGTAATCTTCTTGAGACTACTGATGGAGGTTGAAAGGAATCGGGAAATGTAGCTCTGTATCATTATGATTTACGTAAAGCCTAAGAATTTTCAGTTCATTCAATATGCAGTAGCTTTTGTGCTCAAAAATTCAAATGTATTTTATACTATTTTATAGGGTGTTTGTGTTTGTTTATTTTCTGAATTTCTGAGGTTAACTTTAGTGTCAGTCTGCGGTGGTCCATAGTACAAAACATACACGGATCCATAGAATATCTACTTTTGACAACAGTCAGAGAGAAAGACATCTCGCGAGAAGTGCAGAGACGTCACTGAAGGATATATAGGGCAACGAGACCGATACAGGGGGCGATTGGTATTTGCATGATATTTTCTCATTTGATAGGTAATGTCGAGCACAAGTGTAATGACAAAAGCGATAAGCAATGGATCAAATTTAAATTATCCAAAAGAACCGTAGCTTTATATCGCTCCCAAACACTCGAATACCACTCTTTATTCCAATATCCGCGATCCGTGGACGTTCTCCAATTTTTAGTAAAGTTGATTTATAATCGTTCCTTTATTGTCCGTTTTGAAAGCTTTGTTTTATAATTTTAATACAAAATAGATTAAAAGTAGCATTATAATCAAAATGAAGGGCCTGTTTCCAAAACTTACTTTCATAGCAAGGCTTAACGAAAGTCATGTTCTTCAAAATATTTTAGAATCGTTTGCTTGAATATTGCGTAGTATTCCTGTGTTTTAAGATAATTGATAGGAAATACTGCAGTCGAAATAAAAAATATGTTGTTTACTCAGTTTTAACTAAAACCAGAAAGTAAACAACGAATAGCTATGAGTCCAAGCAGCATTTTTTCCCAGGAAAAGATTATTAATTAGACATCGGCAAGAGATAATTTCGCGAGGAGGTGACTTATTCCACCTAGTATTAGCCGAGATAGCATCATGCTTAGTTTGTTCAATGGCAAGTAGACCACATCTACCGTACATCCAGAATCGTCAGCCATCTAGCGGAGACATTTATACACGAAATGAGAGAATTTGGTGATTATGGCGCTTGCGTTTCATTTCATAATGTGAAATTGTTGCATAAATATAGGCTGAACTGGATCTGGAATCGATACGGCTGGCTATGGTTACAGAGAGGGATAGTAAACCTATTAAATATTCAAGAGAAACTTTTATATATTGTGAAAGTGTGAAATAGCAAATTCTCAAAGCCCCAAATGAACACAAAGGCCTGCCCAGGGGGTGCACACTGTCTGTAGTAGAGTAGGTCAAGTAGATCTTGAAAATCCTGTATCTCGGAAACTACCCACATTAAGAAGCATTTAGATTGTAATCGTGACAAATTTCGAAAATGAGATATTACGTTTTTTGGATTTTATATGACTTGTATATCACGAAAAACCATGTCACTCATTTCCGTCGGTTTGTCACCTAATCCTATAACCGCCTATAACTTGAGAAGTGCTGCTCGGATTTCGACAACATTTCTCCACAATGTAAACCTTTGCAGTTTTTGAAAATTGGTCCAGTGACGGCAGAGAAAAAGGTCTAAAGCGAAAAAACTAAAAATTGCTCAAACTTCGTTTTTTGACGTTTCAGAGAATCTTGATTATTTGTGAAAAAAAATTAGGGGTCAAAAAATATGGGGGTGGGGGTTGTAAGAGGGTGAGGAGGTTTTATCTATTTTTTTTTGATGCTGCTACATTTATACACTCCCAACATTGATAATTCTACGCACATATTAGATATTTCACACATCATAGATTTTTCTGTACATTAGGCTTGAAAACTTTTCGGAAGACCGATTGCATACCTACGGTTCTGTTATGGAATCACACATATTTCTGCTGAGCAATAGCATAGTGTTTTCTATCCTCAGGCCGCACTATCACGCCCACGGTGCCACGACTATTCGAGTTAAGCGACGTTCCCAGATGCACTACCGGTAGGATATGGACCTGTTTAACTGACTTTTTTCTCAAAGGGTGCAGTTTGTGGCGAACATATTCTTTTATGTACTGATAAGGGCGTTGCGTGGGAACTACAGAGTCAACCCACTTGACGCCATTTTTTCATAGACTTTTATCGTCCATCATCACATGCTGAAATCTACTTCTTGACTAATTGAATAAAATATTGGACTTATCGAATCATTTTGTAGAAGTATAATGATTGTAATGCATAACTTATGGTTAGATTACTTTTTGAATGCTTAATGTAGCCGATTGAATATAGACCTGATTAATTCCTTTCACTGTACTAGATGAGAGTGTAATTATAGGGGGACAGTATTGAGAATGTACAAATATTTCGTATTGCAGTTGTTGGGCAAACGTTCAGGTGAAATTAATATTGAGAAAGGTTTTGCCTAATTAATTGGCTGCGTGTATGTAAAATCTAAACACAATAAGCTTATATGGTAAAACTTATTAAAAAAAAACAATGTCGGGCACCACCAGATCGTCATTTCTTTTATAGCATCTGAAAGAAGTACCTTTCAGTAAGGTCCAGACAGAAAAAAAGTAGAAGTTGTTATTGGAAGTAGATCATAACATATCAGTAAGGGCGTACCTAGGGTACCATTTAGGGGCTGCAGGTGGTAGACAATTCTATGAAAGTTGTTGATGTTGAGTCATCTATATGAGATTTGGTGATCTGTGGATTCTTATGTGACATATAATATGTGAAGGCCATCGACCGTTTAATACAAACATATTATATGCGGCAGCATTGATGTATGGACATACATATATCAAAATATGTATCTCTTACACAGGGTGTGTCAAAACAAAGTGCAAATGATTTTTCTAAATAATTGTTCCATGAGTGACCTGAGAACCTCCTAAGAGTTGCATTTTGCCAGTGGCTTTTAGAACAGTTCGGCAGAAATGAGGATTTTGCGAAATTAATTTTGTGTACAGACGAGGTCACATTCACACGAAATGGAGTGCACAACTTCCACAACAACACAAATTTTTACCTCGACTGACTGGTGAAATTTATTTGGATTTTCTTCGACACAATCTACCACAACTGTTAGATGTTCTTCCAAGAGTGAGACTGAATATGTGGTTCCTACATGACGGGGCTCCACCACATTTTAGACAAGAAGTTCATGAACACCTAAATAATGAGTCTCCGAATAGATGGATAGGGCACAATGGACCCATTTCTTGGCCTGCTCGCTCCCCTGATTAAATGCCTCACAATTTTTTCTATGGGGTTGTTTGAAAGAGTTGGTGTATCGTGATGCAGCAGTGAATACTTTGGAAGAGCTTCAACAGCGCACTGAAAATGCTTGTGATTTAATTCGTCGAAACCAGGATTTTATTTTCAAAGCTTATACAGAGTCGTGGATTCGCTGAGCAAAATTTTGCATTAGTCGAACAAACGGGGACAATTTTGAACGGTTTTTATAAAAACGGTATCCATTTAACTTGATAATGATTTAACTCTCTTATTATGCAACTTTTATATAGGTGATTTTTGGTATATCAACTTCTTTTGACGAGTTCTCCAAGCTGTTAAAATAACTGACCCAACTTCGAAATGATGCTTTTGAAGATGTTGAAATATTGTTTGCTGTACCTTTGTATGGGCAATATAATTCCACGCTGTGGGCGAGAAATGCCGACATTAAGCTCTTAATACATAGATAGCTATGTTACACTCGATGAGTCATCTCAACACTTGTACGAGGGATGTCTTTTAAGTTTTGCATATAGAAACATAGTAGGCCGCGCGGATCGAACGTCAGTACTGAATCTTAACCTCACTCTTTAGTAAACTTAAATTCAACGTTTAACAACAATACGTGCAATGTTCTCACTACAGTGAATTTTTAAGTGTCACCAAGTCATTAGAAAAATGGAACTCAATCGAGAATATTTTCGCACCATAATTTATTACAACTTTCAGAGACAATTATCGCAACAAGAATGCATTGCTGAGTTACTGTCTGTTTTCGGCAACGAAGCGCCACATCAAACGACAATTTCCCGTTGGTATTGAGAATTCAAACGTGGACGGGTGAGTCTTAGCGACGATCCCAGGGTGCGTGCACCACAAACGGCAGTCACCCAGGAAAACGTCGATGCTGTGCGCAAACTCATCATTGAAGATAGACATGTGACATATCGCGAGATTGAGGCGTCCTTGAAGATCTCAAAGACCTCAGTCCAAAAAATTTTACATGAAGAATTTGGAGTAAGAAAATTAGTCGTTGGATACCCCACCTGTTGACTAAAGAGCAGAAAGCAGCCAGGGTTAATTGGTGTTAAAAAACGCTTGACCGTTTCAATTCCGAAAACTCAAAAAATGTGTACAGCATTGTTAGTGGTGATGAATCGTAGATTTACTGTTATGAACCAGAAAATAAACGACAGTCGGCTGTTTGGGTGTTCCAAGGCGAAGAAAAGCCAACAAAAGTCTTGTCTCGAAGTGTTTCGAAAAAGATGGTCGCGACATTTGTGTCAAAAGCGGGTCATATTGCAACAATTCCTCTTAATGAGCAAAGAACTGTTACTGCGGATTGGTATACCACCATTTGTTTGCCAAAAGTCATCACCGAGCTTCGAAAAATCAACCCCGAAAGAAGAATCATCCGCCACAAAGACAATGCAAGCTCACACACAGCCCAAAAAACAAGGCAGTTTTTAACGAAAGAAAACGTGGAATTATTGGACCATCCTCCATATAGTCCCGATCTAAGTCCTAACGATCTCTTTACTTTCCCGAAAATTAAAAACAGACTGCGTGGTCAAAGGTTACAGTCACCAGAAGAAGCAGTTGGCGCATTCAAAAATGCCGTTTTGGATCTGCCAGCAAACCAGTGGAATAAGTGCTTCGCAAATTGATTCGAGCGCATGCAGATGTGTATTAATCTTCGTGGAGAATACTTCGAAAAACAACAAAGTCATTTAAAACTACCTACCTTGTTGTTTTATTTCCATATGCAAAACTTAAAAGACATCCCTCGTCCTACAAAATAGGTGGCTATATTTGGTATTTAACAGAAGTGTCCGTTTCATGGATCCTGATATTTTAAAGGTTGAACGCAAAAATTCTGCTTTGTTGCTGTGAAGCTTCGCTAAACACTCAATTGAAACATCTTCACGACACTGTTTTTGCTCGATTGTGAGCAATGGCGGCACCCATCTTGCACACAGCTTTCTCATGTCCAAATTTTCAGATAATATGCGATGAACCGCACTTTTTGAAATACCTACTATGTCTGCTAGCTCGCGCACTTTCAGTCGAAGATCGTTCACCATTTCTGGAGTCGTC